GGAACTCCAGCATAGGGACCAGTTAGTTTTGCTACCCCACTGGCCTTATAATGAACTACCCCAGAGATGGGAAAGGAGGGTCTCTCAAGAAATAGGAGCCAGTGGATCTAAGATCCCTGTTTTGAACTCCTGGATCCAGGAGACAGAAAGCTGTGATACTGGAGAAAGGAAGAGACGATGAGCAGCAGTGACAGAGAAGCAGCTTGCTGGTAGAGTGGGATGTTTCTGGGCACTTGATTGGGGGGTAGAGTGGACAGCTATGTTTGTTAACCCACTGAGCTAGAGATGAATGCCTTTGGGCTGAGGCTTACTGGTGTATTGAGTATCTCTGGAAATTTATCAGCAGAGCTAAAATAACTTTGTAATACTTGCTCAAGCAGGGCAGAGGCTAAGGCATTCAGGGCCTGGGCATGCCTGTGGATACTGCTGAGAAAAGGTTGTCCTGACTTAAGAACTCTATCCTGAGCATCTGATCCTAAATTATAACCTGATACTTCCCTAAGAAACCCCATAACTGTGTATATGGTCTGTGAGTTCTGTGTGACCACTGCAATGAATGATCGAATCCAGCAAAGCAGTAGAGAGGCTTGTGGGAAGGAGGATTGGTATCAGAGCTGGTAAAAAGTGTGGAGGGTGGAGGCATGTCTGACAACCTTAGATTGTGTTGATTTTGATTCTCCTCCCTTGTGAAGTTAGAGGAGGACAGATGCTATCCCATACAGTCAAGCGTTTAATTGTGTTTGTCACTGTGTGTCATTCAGATAAGGGGGATGCATCCTAAGATGGAGGTTATTTCTCCAATGCGCTGGCATTTAATTTGTTTTCAATGCAAAATATCTCTCCATTCTTTTCAAAAGGAGAAGGAACCAGCCTGTAAAAGCAGCTTCTTCTATTCTTATTTATGACTGGAAAATATATCACAGTTTTCTCCTGAGATGATTTATGTTTTAGGATCATAAATGGAACAAAAGAGATAATTCATTGCGAATCATAAAGACTACACCTGACAGCTGGAGAACACTAGTGCAAGGACCCTGGACAGCCAGAAGAACACATCAATCTATCTGTGAAGTAGTACAGCCAGAATGCTCCTTAGAAGCCAGTAGGGTGAGACATCATCTCTCATACTTGGAACATGTTCTCAGAGGGACCAGTCCCTGAAAAAGACCATCATGCTTGGTAAAGTAGAAGGTCAGCGAAAAAGAGGAAGACTCCCAGGATTAACACAGTGGTAGTAACAAGGGATTCACACATAATAATTGTGACGATGGGATGGTGTAGGACTGAGCAGTGTTCGTTCTGTTGTGCATAGTATCTCTATGAGTCAGAGTTGACTCGGTGGCACCTAACAACAACATTATCAGCAGAGCTAAAATAACTTTGTAATACTTGCCCAAGCAGGGCAGAGGCTAAGGCAGGCAGGGTTTCAGTATGCCTGCGGATACCCTCGAGAAAAGGTTGTCCTGCCTTAAGAACTCTATCCTGAGCACTCCTGATCCTAAACTGTAACCTGTTACTTCCCTAATAAACCCCATAACTGTGTTATGGTCTGTGAGTTCTGTGTGATAATGTGCCAACAACCATTGGCTGAGTGTTTTCAATTAGGTACTGCTGTGGATTGAAAACTGAAATGTGTCCCCACCCTCCTCCCCCCAAAAAATATGTATTAAATTCTGGCCCCTATTATTATGGATGAGATCTTCATTGCATATAGGGATTTCTTTTGTTATGCTAATGTAGGTAGATCCTAAACCTAAAAAGTTCTAGTTTTAAAAAGAGCAGACTAAACACAGAGCCATACACAGAGAAACACTCCCCACGAAGACAGACACACAGGGTAAGTGCATCTATAAACCCAGGAATGCCACAGATTGATAGCAGTTACTAGAAGCTCTGGTAGCATAGTGGCTATGAATCAGGCTGTAAACCACAAGGTCAGCAGTTCGAAACTACCAGCCGTTCCGCGGGAGAAAGATGAGGCGTTCTGCTCCGGTAAAGATTTACAGCCTGAGAAACCCTGTACAGGGCCACTATGAGTCAGAACCGACTCCACGGCACATAACAACAACTAGAAGCTAAAACAGACAAAAAGGATGTCCCCCTAGACTCATGCCTGCAACTCGGATTTTTAGACTCCGCAACTATGAGTAAGTAAATTCTTGTTTCCTCAGACAACCCATTTGCGATGTATTTCGTTACAGCCACCCTAGGTAACTAAGACAGGGATAGGTGCTTTAGTGATACAGCCCTAACACATCCTTAAGGGGAATGGGTCATTATTATTCTGCGTAGTGGTTACGAATCGGTCTGTGAACCGCAAGGTCAGCAGTTCGAAACTACCAGCGGTTCCGCGGGAGAAAGATGAGGCGTTCTGCTCCCGTAAAGATTTACAGCCTCGGAAACCCTGTGCAGGGTCGCTATGAATCGGAACCGACTCCACGGCACTTAACAACAACAATTAAGACAATCAGAGTAACGAGATGTTTATAATTTGCTTACGGTCACCTAACAAATAGGTTCTAAACCCAGTACTGATTGATTCCAGTTTAACCACCCAAGAAACACAAGGAATCTCAAGCTGGGCTCATGAGAAAGGGTCAGATTTTATCAGTGTCACAAAATTCACATCATCTCCAGTGTTTTGATTACCAGGAACTGGGATGGCTCTTAGGTGACGCTGAGAGTTGAGTTTGATCCTTCAGTCAGTCTTAATTTAATTTCATAGCAGAAGTCACTGGATGCCAAGTACATTTGGCAAAGGTTAACTTCTTTTTATTGTATTTTAAGTTTTTATTGTGACTTGAGTGATAGTTTGCATGGAAGAACACACATGTTTTACACACATCATTTCATTGCAATGATTACAACCTCCTTCATGTATCATCATTCAACAGTATTTGTTTCTAGTCCCTCTGTTTTTTTTTTGTTTGTTTGTTTTGTTTTACTGGGGGAGAGGAGGATGTACCCAAGAACACTCAGGAAATAGAGTGATTTAAACAACCGAAAGGCACATTCTGCAAACCTGCCACCTTGCTGCCAGCACACAGCCTTTCTCTTTCTATGAGTCCAGAGTTCTCAGCTGCTCCCTCTCTCCATGTCCTCATCTCTGCCTCCATCTCTGGTGTCACTGCTTCTCTAGGTAAGGTCCCACATTCTGCTCATGCTCTTCTCCCTTGATGGTCCTAGGGTCCTCTGTTCCCAGACTGTAAGATTAACTATGCCTCACTTTTTTTTTCTACCTTTATAGTTCTGACAATTGCAATTAGTCATGATAACAATTACTCAATATTGAATCATAAGAATCTTATCCCCATCTCCTTTCACCAGACCCGTCTAGACAAGATGAAAACTATTCAGTGGGGATTCTACCTTACCCTGCACACTCTGAAACTAAACTCCCTCTTGAAAACTCATAAGCATATCACTTTGTGCTTTTATAGCCCCTCCCATTTTAGGTAGCCAATGTCTAAGTTACCCGTCTCTATCAACTCTGTGGAGTCCTGATATGGTACTGTGGGTTAATGCAACAGACTGCAAAGCCGTTTGAACTGCAAGGTTGGTGGTTCAAGCTCACCAACTGCTCCTTGGAAACCCTATATAGGGTCACTATGGGTCGGAATCGACTCGACAGCACTCAACAACAACAACAATCAACCCTGTATACAGAGGGGATAGGATTGATACTTGATGTGAAGATTCCTTCCCTCTCAGTTGAGCTACTACATCCTTAAGTATAGGTCAAGTTCACCAAATTGTAGTAATTTACACTTGTTTCTTTTATCAAATTTTGTTTTTTATCTTCCTCTAGTCCAGTTCTGGAGTCCTGGTGTGGCGCTGTGGGCTTATGCATTAGACTGCAAAGTTGTTTGAATTGCAAGGTCGGTGGTTCAAGCTCACCAGCTGCTCCTTGGAAACCCTATACAGGGTCTTTATGGTTTGGAATAGACTTGATGACACTTAACAACAACAACAAGTCCAGTTCTGTTCATCAAGTCATTGAAGCTACGTCAAATGGGTACTGTCTACAAGTTTGGGTGTTCTTCTCCCCTCACTTCATATCAGCAGAACGTTTCACTCTCAGCTCTAGCCCTCCATGGCTATGTCCTTTCCCATGGACTCAGGAGTCCCCAGTTCTCACCATACTTCAGAACAACCAGACCCTTCTCTTCTCCCTCTCATTTCCAGGTCAACAGGAGTCTATGGAACGTAGCTGAACTCAGTCTATATCTTTATTGCTGCTGCCTTTCCCCTCCTCCACTCACCAGCTGACCAACATGGTCACCAGCAAACTTACGTGTCTGCTCATGTGTTCCCTTTGAGTTTCAGTCTTGGGTGAGGGGTGGAGGAGATTTGTCCTGAAGGAACTTGATTGCTTGCCTTGATGACTCCCTGGAAAAAACCTTGCTTATTCTTGTAGTAGCCAATCAGACAACCATTTTTGTTTTGTATTTTGCCTCCTAGTCTTTCCTTGAAGAAGTATCTTCTGTTCCTCTAGCTGTTCCAGGCTGGTCTGCTTGTCCAAAGGTTAACTTCTTGTAAACTCTCATTAGCAGTTCAGTTGGTAGGGTAGTAAAGCAGTACTTCTCAAAGTATGGTCCTAGGACCATCAGCATCAGCACTACTTGCTAGAAATGGAAATTCTTAAGTTCTACTGAATGAGAAAGTCAGTAAGGATAAGACCCAGCAATCTGTGTTTGTACCACCACCTCCTAGTCACTTATAGGGTCCAGGTGTGGTGCTGTAGGATAAATACTGGATCGTTAACCACAAAGATGGCAGTTAAGACCCAAAAGTTGTTCCTTGGAAATCCTACACAGGGTCACTATGAGTTGGGACCAACTCGTTGGCACTTAACAACAACAACCAGGTCATTTGGATATAGGTTAAAGCTTGAGAATCACTACTCTAAAGTATTAGGAGGTGTCAGAAATAGAATTTTTTTTTAGACATAGAAAACAATGACTTCAGGTTTTATTTTTCTCTGAAAAAAATATATTTACCTCATTTCCAAATCTTCATTTTCCTGTGGTACGAATTTGTACAAGGCAACATAGGTGTTCATCTGTAATGTATCTTTGGAAAGAGGTCCCTGAAAAAGAAAAGGAAAGAAGAAAGAGAGAATCAAGAAGGAAGAAATAGAGACGAGAGAGATAAAACAGAAAATGAGGACGTTATTGTAATATAATTTCAGGGGGTAGGATCTTAAGTGTTTAAAACATGTAATTATTATTAAAGATTTTCTTTCAACCTGAGGTTTATCCTTTCTTTCTTAGCAGATTTTGATTACATTACTAACCATTTAAAAACAATTATTTGGAATTCTTCCTCAGAATACTGTAGTTTTCTCTGAATAAAAGTATTCCTCTTTTTGATAGCGTTGTTCATGAAAATGATACAAGTTTGCCTCCAGAAATAGAAATATTCTCTCTATAAAAAGAGGGACATGTCATGGCAATCAAAAAACTCCTACTACTTAACACTGACTTTTTACCAGTTAGCTTAAGTTTTAGTATCTAGTTTATTAAAGGGAACCAAGTATATTAATCTGACAATCAATTCATTCATGCCATAGCAGATGACATAGAGTTAGATGTCAGACTTATTTAATTTATAACATGCCACAATTATTTACTGGTGGATTAAATCTTATAAGTGATAATAAAAGCTATCACTCTTCAAAGCTACCTATATTAACTGTGTGTCAGGCATGCTCCATGCATCATCTCATTCTAACTTCACAAGAATCCTGTGAGGTAAATTTGTGTGTCCTGGTGCCAACGTATAGACTATAAAACAACTATGAGTCGTTTCTGACTCACAGTGATCATCTATAGGGTTTCTGAGAAGTGGCTGGTGGGTTTGAACCACCAGCCTTGCGGTAAGCAGTCCAGTGCTTATTCTGTTGTTGTTCAACGCCAATGAGCTGGCTCTGACATAGGTACAACACAAGTAACTCCTGCTGGGCCCTGCACCATCCATCCTCACAATTGTTGTTATAATTGAGCCCATTTCTGCTGCTAATGTGCCAATCCATATCCTTTTGGGTTTCCCTCTTTCGTTGACCATCCATTTATCAAGCATTGTCCTTCTCCAGGGACTGGTTGTCCTGATAATATGTCTGAAGTCTGAGAGATGAAGTTTTGTCATCCTGGTTTTTAAGGAGCATTCTGGCTGTACTTCTTTCAACACAGATTTGTTTGTCTTTCTGATAGTCCAGTATTCTGTTTCAGTATTCTTCTCCAACACCATAACTCAAATGCAACAATTCTTCTACAGTCTTCCTTATCCACTGTCCAACTTTCACATGCATATGAGGCTATTAAAAATACCATGACTTGAGTCAGGCACAACTTAATACACAAACTGATACTGTTACTCTTGAATAATGTAAAGAGGTCTTGTGCAGCAGAGTTTCCTAATGCAATATGTCGTTTGATTTCTTCACTGCAAGTTCCATGAGTGTTGATAGTGGATCCAAACAAAATGAAATCTTGGAAAACTGCAATCATTTCACCACTTGCTGTTGCTCAGTGCCGTTGAGTAGATTGTGACTCACAGCAACCCTTTGTAGGGTTTCCGAGGAGCATCTGGTGGATTTGAACTGCTGACCTTGTTTTTCGCAGTCCAGTGCTGACCTTACAGTGCCAGACTTGGAGTATTTTCTCCATTTATCATGATGTTATTTACTGGTTTAGCTGTGAGTAGTTTTATTTTCTTTACATTGAGGTGCAACCACATTGAAGGCTGTGGTTTTTGATCTTTATCAGCAAGTATTTTAAGTCCTCTTTGCTTCCAGCAAGTAAGGTTGTATCATCTGCACATTGCAGGATGTAATGTGTCTTCCTTCAATCCTGATGCCAAGCTCTTCTTCAAATAATCCAGCATTTCAAATTATTTGCTCAGCATAAAGATTGAATAAGTATGGTGAAAGAGTACAATTCTGTCATACACCTTTCCTGATTTTAAACCATTCAGTATCCCCTTGTTCCATTGGAACAACTGCCTCTTAGTCTATGTATGGGTTCCTCGTGAGCACAGTCAAGTGTTCTGGAATACCCATTCATCACAATGTCATGATCCACACAGTCAGAGTTTGTGAAGTCAATGAGGCACAGGTAAACATCTTTTTGATGTTCTCTCTCAGCCAAGATCCATCTGACTTCAGCGATTATATCCATAATTCCTAGGCCTCTTTTGAATCCAGCTTGGGTTTCTGGCAGTTTCCTGTCGTACTGTTGCAGTTGTTTTATAATTATCTTCAACAAAAGTTTACTTGCATATGATATGAATGATATTGTTCAGCGATTCCCACATTCTATTGGGTCACTTCTCTTTGTAATGGGTACGGATATGGACCTCTTCCAATCAGTTGACCATGTAGCTGTCTTCCAAATTTCTTGGTATAGATGAATGAGCAACTGCAGTGCTTCTTTAGTTTGTTGAAATATTTCAATTTATAGTCCAATTATTTCAATATATTCCAAATATTTCAATTTATATTCCATCAATTCCTGGAGGCTTATTTTTTGTGAATACCTTCAGTGTCTCTCCTTCTTCCTATCTGTTTTAGTCTGGAAACTCAGCTGAAACCTGTCCACCACTGGTGACCTTGCGGATATTTAAAATACCAGTGACATAGTTTCCAGCATCACAGAAACACACAAGCTACCACAGTATGACAAATAAGTGTATATGTGTGTATATGTATATTGGATTTAAACTTCTTCCTTAAGTACCATCAGTACTTGATCAGATGTTTGAACATAGACCATTTCTTTTGATATAGTGCCTCTTTGTATACCTTTCATCTTTTGATGTTTTCTGCATCATTCTATATTTTCACCACTGAGTCCTTCAATATTACAAGTTGAGGCTTGAATTTATTCTTCAGTTTCAGAAATACTGAATGTGTTCTTCCCTTTTTGGTTTCCAACTACAGGTCTTTGATTATTTCATTATAATACTTGGCTTTGTCTTCTTGAACTGCCCTTTGAAATTTTCTGTTGA